GGTTTTGCAGTATGTATTGGTACTGAACCAGAACCTAGGGCCTCTGCACTGAGCTACATCTCTGCCTTTTTATTTTTTATTTTGAGACAAGGTCTTGCTAAGTCACTAAATTGCCCAAGCCAGGCTCAAACTTGGCAGGCCTCCTGCCGCAACCTCCTAGAATGCTGAGATTATAGGTACGTGCCACCTCACGTGGCATATGTGACATTTAATTACTCAGTCTTAATAATCTTTCTGTCCTACCTACCAGTCATCAAGTTTGGATGATTCCACCCAGCTTCCAGATACACTTCAGATCCAAGTTTATGTTCCCAGGGGCACAATTTTTCATTTGACTTACTGACTAGCCCCCAAAAGTTCTTTCTTCCTGCTCATTTCCCTTTGAATCCAGTTGCTCCATAACGGCCAGATGGATTAACCCTCTTTAGAAGCCTGGAGTCATGGGGTTTCGTCTTGGTGTCTTTCTGTCAATGGCAGCATGTATTTAGAGCATCTCACTGGCTTATGGGATTTTGTGAGCTTTGTTTCTTCCCCTCCACTTTACTGCACAATGTCTTTGGCGGTACCTAGTTTGCACCAGTGAATTAATATTTTAAAGTTTTTGAACAGTTCCTTTAAACACTACATTCTTTGGTTAACAGACCTTCAGATCCTGACTTACAAGATCATTCCTGAGACAGGTGTTTTTTGCTTCCTTGTTTGCACTACCCTTTTATTTTCCACCGTGTTGTGTGTTGGAGTTTATATTCATGTATTTGTCTCATGTTTGCCTTCGAGATTAGATTGTAAATCCCTGGAGAGAAAGACCTTCCCTTGCCTGTCTGTTCCCTGCTCCCAGCACATCGCCTGCTCCCTACCTTGGGGAGTCCAGCAGTTACCAGGGTGAGAGAGGCCACTGAGTGCAGACAACTCTGCATCTTTTTTCCCCATTCTGCCCTGAGAATGTGCGTTTCAGAGTCTTTTCCTAGAGCTTGCGCATTATTTAGTTCTGCTGAATTTAGTGAATGCTAAATTGTTAGTGATTGTTAGAATAGTGTGTGACTTGTAAAAGGTTGGATATAGAGTATGTTAAGTAGAAAGCAGATAAAATTGGAGGAGGATGGTTTGTCTTTGCAGAAAGAGCCAGAGTTGGTCTTAGTAGACTGTTTTTGCTTTACTAGCCAGAACTGAGGAATGAGGGAGTCGAGGGAAGTTAGCAGTCTTAATTTTTTTGGAAATGGGGATTGAACTAAGGACCTTGCACTTGCTTGGTAGGTGGGGGGGGGCACCACTGAGCTAAATCCCAGGCCCCCAATTTTTTTCAACCCCTGAAAGGAAAGGAAAATTTTGATTTGTTATTTTATCATAGAAGCTCAAAATGTGATCACTATGGTGCATGTTTAGCTGTGTGATTTCCTTTTACAGTTGACCCCTGATTTAGGAACTCACTTCCTTCCCGAGGGCTGGTTGCAACTCAGGTTGGTCAGTTGAAGGCTCAGGGTCCTCTACACAGCCTCCAAAGTCTCTCTCCTGTACACAGGCAGATCTCAGTGTCCTGAGAGAGACACTAGACCAGGATTTCTCAGTTAATCCCTCATAAGAAAGGATGCTGTTATGTTCCTTCCAGAGTTCTTAAGGGTTAAATCTGTATCTGAGACCATCTGGAAGCACACGGAGCAGGCATTCAGGCCATAACGCAAGACTGGTCATAAGTTAAAACTGAAGTGCCGGTCATAACCCAAGTTCTTTGTATGTCAGGCTGGTTGTTACTTGAGGATCCATTGTACTTCAGTGTACGCATTAATGTATATTGAAACAATTTAAGTTTCAAGATTGAAGGTCCTGTCACCACAGTTTCACTTGTCGGTTTTACACTTCCATGACCCGTCACTGCATGTCATGATGCAGTGGTAGCCTTTGGAGGGTAGTAGGTTCAGTAGAGGGTTCTTTGACTTACAGATAAAACTTTCAATTAGCACTTAAAATACCGAAATAGCTATAGCTACCATTTATTGAAACTCAGGTGGGATAGGCATTGCTAGATCCTTTCAGTGGACAGTTTCAAATTGAGGTACTCATTATTTTTGTTTTTTGGATAATATTATGGGTAGTTTTGTTTAAGATGATATAATTGGTAAAGTCATGATTTTAACCCATTTGAGTCAAAGGCTTGTGCTATTTTAATTTCAGCATGCTTTTATCTTTCACTTTTAAAAGTTAGAGACCTGTGCATATCAGACTTTTCACCATTAAAATAACTAGGCAGCCAGTATTTTATCTTTTAAGATGGTTTGCAAAAACTGTTCATGTATTTCTGTAGCTCTTCCCCTGAATCTTTCTTTGATCTTAAAGTGTTCCTTATTCCCTATGTAGTTTTTTGTGGTGCTGGGGGTTGGACCCACACAGAGCTGTGTTTTAAGACATTGTCTTGCAAAGTTTTCCAGGTGGGCCTTGACTTCGTGATCCTTCTGCCTCAGGCTTCCTAGTAGCTGGGTGCAGGTATGTGCCGCCCTGCCAGTCTCCTCTGTGCTTAGCACACCCAGCGTCTCTCTGCTGTCCTGAGTTTGTGTGTACTGATTATCTCTGGTGAGACTTCTAAGTTCTTTGAAAACAGAATTCTGGTGTTTGTTTGTTTGTTTGTTTGTTTTGTTTTTGTTTTTTTCCTGTCTTTGGTACTTTTAAAACTAATAAAAAGCTAATAAACATTTGTTGAGTGAACTGTTTGAAAAGCAACTTTAAGAAAAGTATTCCTTTTTCTAAGCTATGTGCTGGCCCTACATTTCTTTCTTTGGTCCTCTTCTTTTGATGATGCTGAGAACTTTTCCTGGGTGCTGTCATTTTTGTTCCTTGGCTGTGACCAGTGTCCATTATCAGGCGTGCTAACTCAAGTACTTGTATATGTCAGGCGCTAAAACAGATGAAGAGGTGAGTGACTCGGTGGGATAACAGGAGTGCTGGAAAATACCTGTGCTGTGCACAGCTCAGCAGATTGTTGCTATTTCAGTGTAGTATCCAGTATTCACAGATCTTCAGGTTCTCAGGAGAAAGAGAACTCTAGGCTTTTTAATGTGAAGTTTCTTCCATTTCTAAATATGAACACCAAACTTCTAGAAGCTTAAAAATCTCTCAGCGCAGGGATGGAATTTAGCTCAGTGGTTCTGCAGCCTGCCTCCCAAGGATGGGAGTTCCATCCCAAGTACCAAAACAAACAAACAAACATCTTTCAGTGGCTCCTGTTGTCTCCAAACTAAAAATTTTTGAATTTTGTATGTTCTTTCAATTTGGTTCTCGCTTATCTTGTGCTTTGTCCTTTACATAATGGAAGTGAGACAGATCAGTCTCAGTTACGTAGTGAGACCCTGTCTCAAAAAAAAAAAAAAAAAAAGAATGGAAGTGAGAGGGCATGTTAACCCTTGGGGGTTCCATGTTTCCTCCTCAGAGCCTCCCTCCCCTCTGTTCTGCATGCTGCCTCCCTGCCTCCCCTCCGTCTGCTGAGGGCCGCTGTCCCTGTGCGGCTGGGCTCGTGTCTCTAGCCCGTGGTTTCCCACTGAGCTTTCAAGACAGAGCCTTGAATAATGTATTCAGACTTAGGACGGTGTCTGGCAAACATTTCATTCTTGTATATTTGCAGAATGAATAAATCATTTTTCCTGGAGAAATTACAGATATAAGGGCTGCAGTTGTAGTTGTAAGTCCTTTTAAAATGTCCTGATTTTTTTGTTTCCCTTATTTGAAGAAGGTTGTAGGTGTTTTTCTAAATGTGAATCATTAATATTTATATTCTTCGGAACAAAGTAAATTGTACTGTGGGTAATGTACACTAATTATTGTTGCTTTCTAGGACTAGCATTTCTTTAAAAAGACCCCCCCACCCTGCCAGCCCTCTTAGGTTCGCTGTTTCTAGTTGTGTTCCTGGTTAGCTGCCAGTTACTCTTGGTTGCTCCTCCTTTCCTCCCTGGTTTATAGCACAGGCTCTCGGCACGGTGTTCTTGATACTCTGGGCCAGGCTGTTTGTTGTGCAGACTGTCACGTGCAGCGTCCTCAGCCTCCACCACCAGGCACTGATGGCATCTCCCAGGAGGGGCGGTGAAAATGTCTCCAGACAGTGCCAGTGCTCTAGAGTCTTAGTAGAGAAAACTGCCCTGGGTAAATACCGCTGGTTTGTAGATGGTCCATCTCTTCGTTATCCTCAGAGAGCCTCCTTCTGTTACCTTTCTGGTAGCAGCATAAATAGACTGTTTTGCCTTGTTTTTCCCCAGTAACTGTTTATTTGCTGTTAGGTTCATTTCTCTTCCTTCTGTGTTTCCCATCCAGTTTTGTAGAATGAATAGCTTCTGCTTCAATCATTTGCACTTTCTTTCTGAGTTTAACCATTGTAGAGAACTAAATATGGTTTCATCCTGTCTTCTTCTATCTGCTGTGGTGCCACCACCTTGTGGACCCAGTCGTCATCAGCCCTTGCAGTCACCCCGTGGTCAGTCGAGAGCTCGTGTCTGTGCTGTCTCCTGAATGTCGTGAGGGGCCGTCGCCCTTTCATTCTCACAGCTGCATACATGAGGCCTTCAGCCTGTTTACTGCTCTGTGAATGTCGTCTGTTTTTTTTAACTTTATTTCTAGAACGAGGTCTTTTCCCATTTCAGACCTTCTCAGGCCTGAAAAAGGCCTGAAAGGCTTAGCAGTTTTTTTTTTTTTTTTCAACTCTTAGTTGCTTCATTCTCTTATTTCACAAAACTTTCATTCACTGTTTTTATGAACTCCTACAACACTGATAATATTTTTCACAAAACTTCTGCTGGGGTCCTTGGCTTTTAACAATTGCCAAATGAAAAAATGACAAGTACTTGATGAAAAGCCAGTGTTTGTTTACTTACTAATATATTTTTTAATAATGTAAATAATACTATTTATAATTGAAAGAGGCCCCAGGCAGGAATAAGTGTAGTTTAACTTGTTGATTAATGTATGTTACTGACAAATTCGATAAGTTCTAAAATACTGATGTGGCATTTCTGTTCTCTCAGGTATTTATAACAGCAGTGATGCAGCAGTGTCATTTCCTAACGCGGTGTCGGGCTCAGGATCCAGCACTCCAGTCTCCACCTCGCATTTACCCCCACAGCCTTCGGGGCATTCGCAGCAGGTGGGAGCTCTTTCCCCCTCAGCTGCTGCAGCTGTAACGCCTGCTGCGGCTAGTACAACGCAGGTATGTTACGAGCACGCTGTGGCAGTTAGGCATGCTGTCCTTTGTAAGGTTTTCCAGCCAGGATTTTGCTATGTAGTTCAGGCTGGACTCGAACTTGCAGCAGTCTCCTGCTTCAGCCTTCCAAGTGCTGGGATTCCATGTGTGCGCCTCCATGCCTGACAGGTTTGTCTTTCTTTACAGTAGGTTTGGTGGAAATAGAGCTTTCTGTGTGAATTTATAAAATATTTAATTTGTATTGACATGTCAGTAAATAGACACTTTTACACGATTTTCAGATGAGAGGACAAATGAGTATGTGGGCAGCAGCTTATTCTTTCCTAAATCTGGGTTTCTAATATTGTTCTGATGATATGAAGATAGTAATTTCAGGGGAGGTTTTATTTTCTGTAAAAATGTAAAGTTCAAAAAGTTTGAGACACTGGGCACAGTAGTGCATGTGGTAATTCCATCTCCGTGGGAGTCTGAAGCAGGATGATCGCAAGTTCTAGGTCAGCCTGAGCAACCTGGTGATGCCCTGTCTTAGAATAAGAAAGGGCTGGGGATGTAGCTCATGATATTGTAGGTAAATGTAGGATAAAGAGGGAAATGATTCCTTCAGGTACTACTATGTGGTTTTCTTCCTGTGTGCGACAAGAGATGTTCCTAAGTATTGTAGATAATGGTGACCATGTAGGGTCTCCTGTTTGTTTCTGCCTTTTGCTTTATTCAGATCTGCAGTCAAATAAATGACCTTGTCTATAGTAATATCTTACAAGCAGGCATCAAACAGGAGAAATCCTACTCTGGGTTGTATAGCTGGGGTGGAGATGGGTGAAGCTGTATGGTTGTTACATGCATGGCAGCCCACCCACAGGCAGTAATTTAAGATTTCTAAAATATGTATTTTCATTTATCTGTAATTATTTAGAATTTTATTTTCATGTTTCCAAATTCTAGCAATAAGTCCTTTAACATTTGTAGAAAATTGTAATAATGACTCCCTTGTAATTGTAAATGTGTGAGTATAAACAGCTTGTTAAGTGGGTGTGTGTAAGCTTTGTAAACTGGAGCTTTGAGGTAAGCGTGCATGATGTCTGCTGTGGGGGACTTGGGTATACGTGTGCACCGTGGGGGTATTTTCTGCAAGCTGCACACCAGAGCACAGCACTAGATTAATGGCAACGTGTGTAAGTGAAGGACACAGCGCAGCCACCAGGATGTTTGAGCGAGATGTTCGAATGAACAGCAGAACAGTTCAGGGGCATGCTCATCAGTAGAGTCATCTTGGCCAGTGGAAGTTAACTTAAACCTTTAAGCCTGAGGAAGAGGTGGTTGGTTACTGTAGGAGGGTTTTTCTTTATCTTATTTCACTAGAAAAGTGAGGTAGCCATAATAATAATGGTGCTTGGAGTAGAAGAGGGTGAGAAGCTAAATGGAAGAGTGGCTGTCATAAATAGTTCCATCTCCTTTAATTAAGTATAAACCTGCGGTGGATAGCATTATACACATGAGCCATGTCTCACACTGGACATTTTCAGTGTGTGTATTCTGTGTAAGAGTCTGTTGTAGTTACTCTGGTGAGTTCTAGGCTGAATGGAGCAAAAACCTCATTTCTTCTTATTTTTTGTGGGTGTAGCATTGGCATTAAGGAGAGGTGAATGGGAGAGTAGTGGTGAAAACAGTTTATGGCTAGAAGGAAAATTCCATTCAACATGGGACCCAGCTGAAGAACAAAGAAATGCTAGTTGCGAGTTGTCCAGCATTCAGTGCAGTCATCATGCTGACTTTGTATCCTCTTTCCACATTTCTGGAAGATGTGGGGCTGATGAATGCAGTGTCTAGTTAGGCTCCTGGGCCATGCGCTGGGACAGCTGTGCTGTCTTCCTGTCTAGCAGGAAAGACTTCCTGCCTGGGAGCTGAAGCTGACTCAGGCGGAGCGGTGCCAGCCTCCAGGCAGCTGAGGCAGACTGACCTCTCAGGGGAGCCGAGACAGGGTGTAGGCAGTGAGAGGGCTGAGGAGACAAAGCCTGGGGTGGAGCTGTGGGACTCTTGAAATTGGTAACTGGTTATCCACTCCCCCAGATGACAAGTCCATTTCTGTTTGACCCTTGTTTGCCTTTGGACCACACAGTTCACTGTGTTTAGGCAGATGCATCTTAGTATGCTTTAGACGTAGTTAATTTAAAACGTAGAATGGTGGTGAGATGCTTGGTAAGTGGAGTTTATCAGTATTTTGAATATAATTCTACATGTCATGATAATTTAAGAAAACGATCACAGTAACAAGCAAATACTTTAAAAATATGAATGGAAAATAGAAATATTAAACCATATTATTTCATCACCCCCTCCTGCAAAAATTAAATGACTCAGTAGTAAATTTCAGTACTTGGATTGGTGCCCTCGGATAAAAATCCAGGTATCATTCTTTCTAATCTGTGTTGTCAGCAAGCTTCAGACCTCTTATTTGGCTTATTTGCTGCCTTGCTTGTTGCCCAGTGTTACCAGAGAAGCACAACCAGCAAGGAGTGGGAAGACTTGTACAATTATGGGGAGGGGTGGAAATCTGGTGATTACTAGCTGAGTTTGAAAAAGAATAGTCCTTAAAACTGTTGCCAATGTAATTTCGTATTTTTAAGTGTTAATCCTTTTGTTTTCTCTGATATATGGTACTTGCTTGTAGTAGGATATAGCAGTAGTATAGTTAAAATCCTAGGTACTGGGAGGTAGAACGCCTGCCCATGAGATTGTTAATGATGTGTTGTCCCCTTGCAGGGCCGTGAGTAGAAGTATAAATTAGTTTCTGTAGGAGTGCCATTAATTTTTTATTTTGCTTTTGTCTTTGGGAGAATACAAGTCTTTTTGTTTGAAGGATGATTTTTTAGTAGAATAATTTAAGACCAAATATAATGAAAAATACTTGCATTCTATTATAGTCTGTGTTTTGAGTTTTGCTTTTGGATATCATTTTCATGCAGATGGTCATGGTAATTGTGCTTCCTTGTCCTACCCCATTTTACTTGTGTTTTTTGTTTATAGTTTATTGTTGTTTGTTTGCTGTAGTGCTGGGGTTTGGACCCAGGGCCTTTGCACTGAGCTTTATTCCTTCCCTGATTGATTGATTGTTTCTGGGGTTCAAATTCAGGACCTTGCGCTTGTCAGACAGGCGTAGTGCCACTGAGCATGTTACATCCCCGGTACCCCATTTTTAGGTTTTGAGATAGGATCTCCTTGAGTTACTAAATTGCTGAGGCTCACCTTGAATTTGCAGTCTTCCTGCCTCAGCCTCCCAGAGTGCTGGGATTACAACTATGTGCCACCGTGTCCATTTTAACTGTAAGTGATTTTTAAACCTGTGTCATTCTTACAACAGTGACATGGAAGCCGGGCGTGGTTATGCATACCTGCAATCCCAGCACTCGGGGCTAAGGCAGAAGGATTGCAAATTTGAGTACTACTGTGGCATCTCAGTGAGGCCCCACCTCAAAATAAAACATTGACAAAAGCTGGTACGTGGCTCAGTGAAGTAGTGCTGCTGGGTTCCGTCCACAGAGCCACCTCCCCTCAAATCACTTAATGTTAAATTTCCAGTATTTGCCTATCCGTTTACTACATGTAGATGTTTTAAGGCACACATTTAGTGACAAGGATTTATCACATTTGGGTAACATGTTGACCTCAGTAAACCAAAATATTTTCATTTTCTGATGCTGTGATAATATTGGCACACACAGGTATGTGTGCATTTCGGGGGAATCACTTAGATGTTACCCTGATTTTTTCACATGTCAGCTAATAGACATTTTCATTTTATTTAAGTGACGTTTTCATTCTATTTAAGAAAATGTTTCAGTTTCCTGGGCAACGTTAACTGACTGGAGTGGTGTTATTTTGTTTGTACTTGAAAGTTTCATCTGTCTCACATAATTTTGTAATGGCTTATACATTTAAGGAATTCACCTGTAAGCTCATTAAGATCAAATGCTTTTCATTAGCGTACGTTCACAGTGCTAATAATGGCCACATTCCTCATGGCGAGTTGGCCCATGCACAAAACATGTCGTAATTCTTTTTTTATCTCTGTTCCTCTTCTCCCTCCTTAAATAAGGTTTGATAAATGTTTTATACCTCTTGTTCTTTTAGGATGAAAAGGATAAGTAACAACACAAGGTCATGTATCTGGTAAGCAGTGAAAGTTAGTTTGGAAGCAACAAGGCTTGCCTTGGTGTCTGTCCCCTGATTACCAGTTACTGTAAAAGTGTATTTCCCAGTTATATGCCCCTTACGCTAAGAGGTGTCTCTTTGAAAAACAATGCCAAGAATTTTACTGTGTCCATTGTAAAATAGCAGAAAATTTGAGTCTGAAGTTCTGGGTTCCTGGTTTCCTGCTCACTAGTGTAACCTTGGTTAGATTTCTAAAATTTTCTTGAGCCTCAGTTTTTTTCAGATATAAAACAAGAGTACTTTAAGTGCTTGGCTTCTCTGCTCTACAGGTATATTTTGAAGTTTGAATGCAGACCATAAAGTACATTACAATGTAATGTTTATTTTAACTATTCATAGAAACTGCTGATAACCAGTAAGGGAATGGTAGAGATAGTATTAAAAATTCTGTGAACACTTTGTTAAAACTTGAAATTCCATGCAAACATTGATACTTTAAGTTCAGCTGTGGATAAAGGTCTTTTCCAGCTGTAAAATTATTTCAGTAGCTGTCTTTTTCTTAGGGACTTATTTCCCCCCCAAAGTTAGGAGATACCAGTGAGTTATAACCAATTAATAAGCCATAGAATTGGCTGGTTATTCTGTGCATCCCCGTGGTCCAATGGTGAGTATTCATTCACCAAGGGTTTAACTGCACTTTAATCCCTCCTAGTACTTTTTGGAAACTCAAGTGTGGGGCATTTCAACATTAGCCTGAACAATGATTTTGAATACATTAAAGTCCTAACAATTAGGGAGCAGTTTGGAGCATTGAATAATGTGGAATGATGCAATTGAATCTGACAGCTTCAACAACCAGCCTGCTCATGGGGCCTGGAAGTTGTTCACACTTGGTTTCTTCTTTCCTCACATGCTGAGAATTAAAGCCTTACTGGTGGTAGCTACCACAGAAATAGGGTCTGTTATCAGAATATGTTTCATGGTACTAAGTTTGAATCAAGCTGGAGAACAGATGAAACTTTCCATTGGTTCTCCAATCCCTGTCCGATATTCATTCATAGTTTTCCTGGAAACCTTCCTGGTCAAATACTCTTGTGTTTGCAAATTCAAAAATACAAATTGTATTTTAATACATTGGAACTCTTTATGTTGTATTTGCAGTAGAGTTATCTTACTGTAGAGTTACCTAGATTAAAGTGTTACTGCAGCGTCTGGGATGTAGCTCAGTAGTACAGAGCCTGCCTAGTATGCACCAGACCCTGGGTTCAACCCCCAGTGAAACCCTCACCACTACCACACACACACACACACAGGGGCATACTGAGGCAGATCAATTCATGTTTCTTTGAAAAATAGGTTTTAATCTTTGAAATATGCTGTGGTTAGTAAAGTTAATGGAAAAGTTTAAACAATAATTTATAAAAATAACTTCTAAAATAAGCGAAAATATAAATGCTCACCATGTGCCAAGTATCCTTCTATACTCTTTACATATATTAATGCAGTTCTAGCAGTATTCCTACGAGGTGGCTACAACTCTTGCTCCCATTTTCCAGTGGGCATTGAGAGAGGGTTTACTTAGTAACTTGCCCAAGGTGACATAACTCAGCTTGTGGCAGGTATGGTGATGAGGAAGTTTTGTTTATGTTAAAAGTACAAATGGTTCAGAGTCTGAAGAAGATTTTGGAAGAATGCATTGTAAATTGTGTTAGTGTTAGAATGGTTGAAGAAAAAAAGCTCTGCTACGTTTTATAGCTTGTTTGAATCATTTGCTTTTTTTTGGGTACTGGAGATCGAACTCGGGACCTTGACACTTGGAAGGCAGACGTCGGCACAGCTGAGCTAAATTCCTGGCTCTTATTTGAATCATTTGACTTTAATGTTTATTGACAGCAGGCTAACTGCATTAAAAAAAAAAAAAAAGCCTGTTAAACTCTGTTCCTATGTGATGGAAGTGTGGAGTTTCAGACCTCCCTCTAGAGATGTTACTGTAAAACTTTGCAAAGTGAAATTCCCATAGGTACTCTTCTTTTCTTTCCATACCTCATTTTTCTTGTTCATACATCCTAATTTTCACTTTATCCTCATTAGAGTGGGACAGAAATCTACCAGAATCAAAACCCACTTCTAAATTTTACACCTGAGTAATCGAGCATGTAGCCTGACCTTTTCCACTTAGTTTTAGAAAATCCAAGCATCTAGGAATGAATTAAGAGTTACTAATTTACAGGCATATCTGGTCATAAGCAGACCTTTTAAATATAAGAGGTGAATTGTTAACAGGAGAAATTTCAAGCTGAAATGTAATTTTAATCTTAAGTTTCTGATAAAGTTACTTCGGAAATACTAGTGTGTCTTTGACTGGAGTTTGACTATTGCCTTGATAGAGACTTTTATTTCCCCTCTAGATAAGTTATTCTTTGTTAACAGTGTTCTCAAGATACCCAGACATGTTTTGTTAAAAAGTGAATCTATTTTTAACCTACTGATCTTTGGGGATCATCTTGCAAAATAATTATACTTCTCTTAATGAGGTTTTTTTACTCATGTTAGAATAAATGTTATAACATCTTTAGTGTGGAAGTGGGTCTTGTTAATTATTAGTGTTAGCAGAAGGAAACCTCTTTACGACACCATCGTGTCAGTTGCAGTAGCAGTTCATCCTGGCAGGACTGCTTCACCTGGGGATGACTGTAGATGTACAGGAAAGCCGTGAGCACATGCAGCAGTGGTGGCGAACCCATGGCACACGTGCTGCTGCAGGCTGTACCCGCGAAAGCTGCCGCACCGCAGTGCTCGCACAGCCCGTGCCTTTCCTGGGCAGGATGAAGCTGCAGTGTCAGGGTAGGTGTCCTGTCAGTAAATAACTTCTAGTCCTCGTACCTGATCTTCTGAAATATTTTCTTGAGTTGACAGAATGCCTGTGCTTCTTGTACTCACCAGTGTTACCTTTCCCCCCCACTCTTCCCTTGTCCGTCTTCTGTTTTATTAAGTTGTGAATCTTTTCACTCAAATGTGGGTTTATTTCTTTTTCTTTTTTGGCCTGGAGGTAGCAAAGAAGGGATACCCACTGCCAGACATTATTCCGGAAGTGTACTGGCTCAGTTGTGGAGACCTCTGTGGGAACTTTCCTAATTCACATTGCCTACTTGAAGGTGATGCTGTGACTTGAGTTTTTTAAAACAGAAATTAGTGTCGAGAGGTTTAGACTTTTTAATATACCCAAAATAATCTGTCTGAGTCATCCAGATAGTTTGAGAAGTTGGTTATTTTGAATAGCATTCTTATTTTACTTTTTTTTTTTTT